CACATGTGTGTGGGTCCCTTTACACACATATAGGCCTCTTTACACACATGTGAGACCCTTCACATGTGTGTGGGCCCCTTTACACACATATAGTCCTCTTTACACACGTGTGAGACCCTTTACACATCTGTGAGACCCTTTACATGTGTGTGGGCCCCTTTACACGTGTGGGTCCCTTAACACACGTGTGAGACCCTTTACATGCGTGTGCCCCCCCTGCCAGCCACGTCTGCAGCCCCTATGTGTGTGCAACCTTTACACATGTGTGCCCCCCCCCTTGCAGACTTGCCCCCTCCTCACCCCCCACATGGGGCCAGGGGGCAGAGCCCCCCCCCCCCAGTGCCCACGGGTGTGTAAAGGCCACGTGCAAACGTGCCAGGGGAAACTGAGGCAGGGTGGGGAGCTCAGGGGGGCTCAGGGGCCGAGGGGTCCCGGGGGGACTGATCCGGCTCCTATTTGGGGAGGGGGGGCAGTTACCATGGCAACAGCGGGGCCAGCGATGATGTCATCATAAAATTGGGGGGGGTGAGTCACCGGGGAGGGGGGTGTGGGAGGGGCTCAACGTCACCCCGAGGGACCCGGGGGGGGGGGGGGGGGGCCCCCCCCCCCCCCCGGGGGGGGGGGGCCCCCCCGGGGGCGGCACCTCCCGCGGTGGGGTCATCCCGGTAAGGGATGGAGCCTTCCCCCCTTCCCCCCCCGGGGAAACTGAGGCAGAAACGGGGGGGTGACCCTGGGGGGGCGTTGGATAAACGGGTTGGGGAGAGGAGGGAGTGTCTGTCGCGACATGCGACAGCGCCGGCTCCATGTCGCGACAGCGCAGAGCTGGAGGAGGGGAGCCGGGGAGTGAGAGCGCCCCCGCCGGCACCACATGTCGGGACATGGCGCCCTGTCGCGACACCGGGAAGGGGGCCGGGGTGGGGGGACGTGCGTGACGGGCTGCGGGGGGCACACGCGTGTGATGGTGGGGGGGGGCCGGGGGGGGGGGGGGGGGGGGGGGGGGGGGGTCACGCGTGTACAAGAGCATCACTCCCGTGAGGGGGTGGGGGCACACGCGTGTGCAAGAGGCCGCTCGTGTCCCCTCACCCCTCCCACCCTCCAAGACCCCCCCAAACCCTGCAGGGACCCCGCGCCCGGGGCGGGGGGAGGGGAGGGCGCGGCCCCCCCGGGCCCGGTGGGGGGACCTGCAGAGGGGGGGCGCGGGGGGATACGCGCCATCACCCGCTGTATCCCCGTTCCTTTCCCCCCCCCATCCCGGTGCATCCCCAGTCCTCCCCCCCCCTCCCACCCCCGGCCCCCCCAATCCCGGCGCATCCTCCCGCCCCGCGGCCTCCCCGTGCCGGTGCCGGTACCTGGGGGGCTCCGGGCCCTGCGCCCGGGGATGCGGGTGATGCCGGGGGGGTTTCGGGGGGGTCCCGGTGCCGGGGTAGTCCCGGTGATGCTGGTGCTGGTGGGGCTGGGCCCGGCGGGCGGGGCCGGTACCGGGGCCGGGGCCGCGGTCGGGGCGAGCGGCGAGAACGGCCCCGCCCGGCGAGAACGGCCCCGCCCCGGCCCCGCCCCGCGCACCGGAGAGACCGGCACGGACACCGGGACCCCTCCACTGGGACACCACCGGCAGCGGGACCGCCCCTCCGATACCGCACCGGGACCCTGACACTGCACCGGGACCCGGAGAGACCGGCACGGACACTGGGACCCTCCCGGACCCGGAGAGACCGACACGGACAGCGGGACCACCCCCAGTACTGCACCGGGACCCCGATACTGCACCAGGAACCCCCCGGACCCAGAGAGACCGGCACGAGCACCGGGACCCCCCCACCGGGACACCACCGGCACCGGACCCCCGATACCGCACCGGCCCCCTGACACTGCACCGGGACTCGGAGAGACCGGCACGGACACCGGGACCACCCCCAGCACTGCACCGGGACCCCGATACTGCACCGGGAAGCCCCCGGACCCAGAGAGACCGGCACGAGCACCGGGACACCACCGGCACCGGTACCGCCCCCCCGATACCGCAGCGGGACCCCGACACTGCACCGGGACTCGGAGAGACTGGCACGAGTACCGAGACCACCCCCAGTACTGCACCGGGACCCCGATACTGCACCGGGACCCCGATACGGCACCAGGAACCTCCCCGACGTCGGGACCCCCCGGCAGCAGCAGCGGGACCTCCAGGAACAGGACTGGACCCCCCTGGTGCCCCCGGGACCCCCCGGCACCGGGCTCGCCCGACCCCAGCAGCACACGGGGCACCAGCGCAATCCAAGTACTCCCAGTGCGAGTGTCCCGCTGTTCTCAGTGCTCCCAGTGCAACCCCAGTGCAATCCCAGTGCTTCCAGTCTGATCCCAGTTTGGGTGTCACTCTGTTCCCAGTGCTCCCAGTGCAATCCCGGTGCTCTCAGTCTGATCCCAGTGCTCCCAGTACAGGTGCCCCTGCGTCACCAGTGCTCCCAGTGTGATCCTCGTGGTCCCAGCCTGGGTCTCCCTCTGTCCCCAGTGCTCCCAGTGTAATCCCAGTGCAATCCCAGTGCTCCCAGTAATGCCTCTCCCTCCAGCCCCAGTGCTCCCAGTCTGCTCCCAGTGCTCCTCCTCTGACCAGTGCCACATCTGACGCACCTCCCTCACCGCCTGTCCTGTCCCCACTGTCCCCACTGTCCCCATTGTCCCCATTGAGGGGGAAACTGAGGCAGGACACACCCCCCCCCTTCCAAGAGTCACGTGACTCGCTTCCCAACTCCTCCCCGCTCCCTCTGTGCCCTCCCTCCTCGCGCGAGGAATTGTGGGAATCGTAGTCCGCCGGAGGGGGCGGAGCCGCGTCGGCGCGCGGGGCGGGCGGCGCGGCCCGACTACGATTCCCAGACTCCCCCGCGCGGCGCTCGCCTCCCGTGATGCCGCGCGCCCCCTGGCGGCGCGGGCGGCGGCCGGAGCGGCGGGGATGAGCGAGGAGGGGGCGGGCGGGGCCCGGCGGAGCGGCGGCGCCTTCCCCAGGTACCGGGACCCCCCCGCGCCAGGCACCGCCCCAGAACCCGGCACAGACCCCCCCGCGCCGCGGGGGTGGCGGGCAGGGCGAAGGGGCGGCCTAGGCCGCGCCGCGGGGGAGGGAGGAGTGGGCGGCGGCGGGGAGGGACCGGGGAGGGGGACACACGCGGGACTGTCCCCGTGTCGCCACGCGAGGGAGGGAGGAGGGGGGACAGGTGTGTCCCTACGGGGTGTGGCGGTGGCATCGCGGTCCCTGAGTCCCCGGTGGTGCCATCCCTGTCCCCGGGTGGCACTGCCACCCCCC